GCGCTTTCCTGCCCGAGCGAAAATCCAGCGCTGCCTTTAAAAAAAATTAAAAGTCCGTCTGCCAACACCACTCGACGCGATCTCCTAAATCTCATGAATATAAACTGTTGTATTATAAATGGTCGGCGGACGGGCCACAGCCACCCCGACGCGTTCCCCGAAATTAACGAGATTGAGCCTTACGCCCCCCCGCCGTAAGGACCGAAATCGCCGGGCGGGGAAGAGGCGGGGGCGTGCAACAAGAGTCCTACCCACTAAGTCAAGATGCTCATGTTTAATTATCCGACGGTGGCCGGCGCGAAGAGGGTGCTAAGCCACGCGGCGTTATTCGATCAAGACGGGAAGGACAATCGGCGATCCCGCCCCCCCCCACGCCCACGCCCACGCCCGCACGCCGCACGCCGCGACGCGCCGCCCGCCCGCGCCGCTCGACCCGTTCGCGCCGGCCCGCTGCGACTCTGTTTCCTTCCTCCTCTTTTCTTATTATTCTCCTCTATTCTTCCTCCTGCCTCCTTCAACTTCCTCTTCTTCTTTGCTTATTTTCCTCCTTTTCTCTCCCCTCCTTATTTTTTCCTTCTTCTCCGTCTGTCTTTTCCACCTTCCTTTTCTTTCGTTTCTTTCTTTCTTATTCTTCTTCTTATTCTTCTATTCTATTCCTTTCCTCCTTCCAAATCTTTCCCTTGCCCTCTTTTTCTTATTTCCATAACCGCTTTCCCTCCCCTTTATCCCTTCCCTCTTCCCTCCTCCCTCCTTCTCTCTCCCTCTCTTCCCAAGGCCGAACACCCAAACCGAAGGAGGACCGGGGGAGGGAGACAGGAGGCCGGAAAGGGAGAACCGAGGGGGAGGGAGAGGGGGGGAGGGGCCCTGCAGGAGCAGGAAGCCCAAGTAAGGTCACCCTCAACGTCCCCAGGGTGCAGTAAGGGCCGATATAAACTGGTATTGCTACCCCCCACCACCCCACGCCCATTCCCACCCCCGTTCCCCCACCCCCCCACCACCCCAACGCCCCTTTCCCCCACGCCCCAACCACCCACGCCTCGCTTCCCGCAACCACATTACCACCCCACGCCCCTTCCCCAACCCAGCCACCCCAGCCCATTCCCAATCCACCACCCCACGCCCCTTCCCCAACCTTCCAACCCCACGCCACTCCCCAACCCAGACCACCCACGCCCGCTTCCCCAACCCCACCACCCCACGCCCCTTTCCCCACCCCAC